AAACTAAGCGCAATGTCGCCGCGCCGTGCGTATTTATCCCGTTCAAAGCAATCCAGATCGTTCTCGAACACTAACGCACTGGTTCGGCTGGTCGGTTCTAGCCGATTCTAGCTTGATGGCGTCAGCGGCAGATCGCTCACCGCAACGTTGCCGCTGTTTATGTTTAATATTATGACAATTAGATTTTTTTGTGTAATTTTCGAAAGCTTCTTTGATTTTTGCAGTTTGTATTTTTTAAATTAAAATCGTTGTGAGAATTGCCTCCGCGAGCTACCGGTAACTCGCGATCGACAGGTTGGCGACCACTGGTGTAGAGTGTGGAGCCTTTCCACGTAGAAACTGATTAGTTGATCCTGCTCTTTGACTTCGATTTCCCCTAGTAGTTCAATGAAATGCCTTGAATTTTTCACAAAAGATGATGTTTTTCCTTGCAGTGGTTTAATTACTGGTAGTAAAGATCTGAACAAATTCTGAGTGGCTGAAACTCTGGAGCTAATGATCGGTCTGAGCGGAACATCCTTCTCATGGATTTCGAGGGGGCTCACATTTATGTAATGTTAGCGATTATATCTCCTTTTCCGAAAAATCTCAATCGATGCAGTAGGATCTCTTCCGATCTTCGTGTATTTTCCTTTCTGAAGCATCTCTTCGATCTTCTGTTCGTAGAGATTAGTATCCATCACCACAGTAGCGTTTCCCTTTTTATATCATATTAGACAATGGAAGTCCGAACTGATGAAGTAATTGAAGTCTTAGTTGAAGTGTTTGGTTTTATTATCAGTTAAATGAAGTTGACTTTGATTATTGAACAGTGTGATCAATTATTATTGAACCCACGGAGAAAACGTAACATTATAATAGAAGCACATATCATTCCTCACCTTTCTTCTTCAGCGCTGCAACAATTTGATCACGTAAACCAACACTTGTTGCGTTGAATGCTAAAAAGGTTCCTCTTCCTCTAACAGAATTAATCAGTGAAGGAAATTCGTTTTCCAATGAGTGAAGCCCATTTTTCAGTCTTGCTCCGCTTTTATTCACTTGATCCAGAAGATTTTCCCTATTGAGAACATTCAAGAACGATTCCAACAGGTACAGTTTTCCAGGATCTCCCAACCACGTATTGTAGACTCTGTAGGGCTGTTGTGGTCTGTGGAGTGAAAAAAAAATAGTAATATTCATCAACTGGTTTGGTGATACAATAATTTTTTTCAAGAAGGGTCTGTTGGGTAACAGTATCAATTTTTCTTAAAAAAAAACAATTGTTTTCTTGCGTTCCGTTTCGAATTCAATCCAGTCCTTCCTCAAGGCTCGTGTAGGATATTAGTGGGAATCATCCTGTGAGTCAAGGATGTATAGTTTAAGTTTTTATACACAAATCATTTACAGATTTGCAAATGAAATAATTTCGTCATTTACGTTCTGGCGAACCTGTCTATAACAACTACTTAAAAGAAAACGATTACAATTAATGAATTTAATTAATGAATACTGCTAGCGAAACAAGTTTCGAAAAGATATACAACAAGAAAACAAATTTAATATTCAGTTCGAACCACTGTTCTCTCTGAGATATGCGTCAACTGCGTCGACTCTTTTTTTTTTCTCTACTGGGGATCAATTATCCCACTCTTTAATGTTTTTGAAAATATGTTTGCTATGAATAATTTTTATACTTTCTGGCAATGTCCTGTATATTTTAGGTACTAGATAGGTAAAAGTTTGTTACCCTACTGCTTTCTGTCTTCTAGAATTTTGAGATATTCTGAAACTAATGCTCTCGTTCGGTGAGTCTCAAAATATGTCGGGTTATTTAAAGCAAAATTCTAAATATGTTTGACACATAATTGTCGAATATCCATGATTACTGAATCCTCATATAGCTGATCAGTTGGGAACGTTCTTTTCTTAAATAGCATTATTTTAAGTTTTGTTTTTGTACCACTCCCATACAATGTCTCTCATACAATGTAAATTACGACCGAGAGTGTTCATATAAACACTATTCATCGGCGTGCTTTGAAAAGAAGCACGGTCAGATATATTTGTCACGTAACTGAAAACCGCTAAGGATGTAAATATGGGCATATCAATATCCCACCATTGAAATCGTGAGTTTTGTCAATCCAGCGAAATAAGTTTTCTGGTGACCTCCGTCCTACGAGGGCCACAAAGAACGGTTTGAGGAACGGGGGGAAGAAGCATCCGTGATTTCTTCCTGGCTTTTTGGAAGGCAGGGAAGGAGGGAAGGGAGTCTTACGAGAGCCACAAAGGGGGTCGGTCAGAAGAGCCCGTGAAGGCAAATTCTGGGGTGTCATCCCTCAGCCTTCGAGGCCTGAATAGGGAAGTCACTTTGTTTCTGAGCGCGGGGTGTGAAATTTAAGGAAAATCAGTAACGAAATTGTAAGCCGGTATTTGGTACAGGGAAGTAGAAAATAAAAGTGTTGGGTCAACACATCGGCGGGTCAACGAAACCTATGGTTGACCAGGAGCCATCAAAGAGGCGTTATGTGAGTGTTTGTTTTTTTGTATACTAACCAGGTGATATTGAGAGAGAGTTCACATATTATTTTGTCTGAGTTTACTTCCTATTTGCAAAGAGTTTATATATTGTTGGGTTCCTAGTGTGGGTTGTTTAGCTAGAGTTCAGATTACCATTACAAAAAAGGAAGCAAATTCAAGGTTAGACACCACTCTTCCTAAAGTAAAAGTAACTGAAAGTATTTTGTACCAAGTTGGTGCGTTTGTAGTTTTTTAAGAGGTTAAATAATTAGTGAATAACACAGTCAAATTGGCGATATTTTCTTCTGATTTATAGAGATTAACTTTTTTTATAAGATTTTTCACGTTGTTTTTTGTTTGTCCATGGAGTCGTTGTTTTACTCATTATACTTTANTTCATTTTTATTCTTCGAAAATCATGACTTCTAAAAATGCCGATATCTTTTAGTTAAGAAGGACTATAATATCGAAATTTGGTCTGGAGTTAGGTGATAAGCACACCATGTTTGACAGATTTCACATTCGATTTAATCCCATGTAATGATACACACTGTGATCTATTGTGCAAATAGGATTCAAAGAATTTAAGGGACAGTCCGCGGATACCATAATAGGAAAGTATGTATACCAAATGATCAGGTATAGAGGTAAAGACCTCCTCCTCCTCGTGCAAGAGGCCAAATTCAAGCTTGTTTCGGATTTGCCTAGCATCCAAAATTTGATGTGGAGAAATTCGCATCTGGTGACAGCAGCTGCCAAAATTGATATAAAAATAATAAATAAATCATCAAGGAGCATTTATTACACTGATAACAACTAAGTGACATTTCACGGGGAATTGTTGGTTAAGAAATCATAATTCCACAATTGAGATCCTTTTAATTTTTGTACGTTATTACACTATTGCGTAACTCAACAGAGATTACACCAGAGCAAATCATATGACCTTTAGCTTATTGACAGTGAGTATTTGACAGTGAGTAAAATTCATAGAACATTTCTCTTATTTTTTCCTTAAAGATTTTCAATATGAATATTCCACAAGATCCCTAGATACTTTATAGGTGTTGTGAGTTCTACATCGTGGTTACCCATCGTGGTTCTGTATCTGAGTAGATATGATTCGTAAGATAAGAATGGTAATATATATGTTTCAATAACATTTATCGTCAATAAATTACTTTTCAACAAACCATGATGTTATTTTGTTCAAATATTGCTCTGCTATTCTCTTAACTTCATCCCATGAATCTGCTGTGTATAAAATGATCGTGTCATCAGCAAATGAAACATTGTGAGGAAGTGAAGAAAATAATTATGGAGAATCGTCGTTTCACTATTATAGAAGTTGTTGACGATGTCGGCATATTGGTTGATGCGTTGCCAATCCATGATCGGGGGCAAGTAGTTTTGATCTCGATGATGTTGATCTCGGTTAAACTGTTTCCATTCAATCTTAAAGCCACTTGGAGATGTTCCAATCCTTCTTGTAGGTGTTCCAGTTCACATATTCTAAGAGCACGTTCCGTCAGGGTGTTGATATTTCCCCGGTTTTGACTTGGATGGTGTTTCGAAGCTGCAAACAGATATCTGTCCATATGTGTCGGTTTTCGGTAAACTCTGTGTGTTAGTCGTGTGCTACACTTTTCGACGAGTACAAATAGAAAAACTATCCGGTGTTCCTGTTCAGTCTCAATGGTGAACTTAATGCTAGGGTATTGAGCATTTATATGGTCTAGAGGTTCAGTCTGCCCCTCCCATGTCTCCAAGTAACGAAGGTGTCATCCACGTATCGTAGCCAAATGGTTGGCTTGAAATCAGTACTACCAAGTAAGCAAATCGGCAGTAGCGGAACACGCTCTTAGTGAGGCGATCACACGATACTGTTTGAAGATGTGAAACTAC